AAATTCATTTACAATGGAATTTCTGAAATTTGAAACAGCAAAACAAACATAAACAATCCGCGATCCAAGTACTACTTTACTTGCTGGGAGATGTTTTTTCAGAATTTTGAAAGTCTTACTCAGACCAATTATCCGTTCAACATGGATTCTTTTTGAAGCAATTCTTCTGTCCTTAACAACATCTTCTGGTTCTAACTGTGATTTGCCTTTTAACATTGTTGGGGTGTTTACTTGAACATCTTGGGCTGCAAATTTGATGTTTACAGATAGACCATGTCATGCTCTGAGCATCAACATGAGATGGCTTCTTTATTGGTATCTCTGTTGCATCCAAAATGACTCTAGTGTTTTTAAACTTCTTACCGAAATCTGTGGCATGTGATCATCAACAGTTGCTCTTGATGGCCATATCTGTAGTTCCTTCAGTTGGAAATATAAGAAATTGATCCATGCTATTACAATTTGGCAAACAGTGGATGATGATATGCCATGCAAGAAACTTAATTCTATGTCATCCTTGGCCTGTCTTAATTTCATTAGAGTTAAAAACAATTGGTCTTTTGGGTGCAAGAGTTCACACTGATAGTTCAGTTCAAAAACTGGTGGACCAAGCGAGTGAAAGCAGAACATGAAATGGTCATAATCTTGGAAACCAGCAAAGTACAAAACAGCTTTGGGATTATTGATGTAGGTTTCTATGGAACAACTTTCTAACAAACTGCACTGCACAGACTGAGAGTTACTTTGACATGTTTCAAGAGGCTCATTCAAGCTACTTGGGCTTGTGATAGCACAATCCTCTGCAAAACCAATTTCCACCTCCGACGACACATTCCATATAGCTCTGTCAGCTTCTTCTTCACGGAGTTGATGTGCCCTCTTTGGTCAAGTTGGTAGTGTTGATGTACCGGTGCATGATGTATGTGGGAGGATGGAGGGAACCGCAGCTGCCCGGAGACGACTTCGTTCACCTTATGTTAAATACATTTAACGTAAGTTACAGAAAAATGAAAGGTTTCAATTTGTTGAAATAAAAACAAATGCATATTGAGGTGATTTTCCTCTTAAGAATTAAAAAAATAAGCATGTAGCTTTTAATTTTTTGTAAGTCTCATTAATTAAATAGAAATGCAAGTGAAAATATTTCTACACTGAAGTAATGTTACATGTCGATCTACCTCAAATTCCTCCAGTGATTTACTTAAAGAGTTTACCAATAATAGAAACTTGTACAAAACTGAGTTTCCCAGGCCTCGTTGAGTAATTTTTCAGTGGGAAGCTTCAGGCTTGTCATCGTTTGTATGGCTCCTTAAAAACAGGAATTAAACACAAAGCAACAAGAACAAACATTAACAATGGATCAACCAAAATAATAATATCTTAATTCACTTGCAAACATGGAATAAATCAACAATACACAAGTTGAAGACACATTCAAGGTCATTTTAATGATATTCATTATCAAAGTGTGTGTGTGTACGCAAAACAGACCTACAGATAAGCTGCATATTTGTGTAAAATACTCCCAAAACATATTCGAAACCCAAATACTTTCTAATTATCTTGCGTACAAAAACGAACGCATTAAAGGAAAAACTCAAATGTGTAAAAACAGTACCCAATGAAGCTTTTTCAGCAAGCGTACAACGGGGCTAATTTCCGAAACACAATTATGAGCTAATTTACTTTCTGAGTCAAGCCTATATATTAAGTACAGTTATATACATCTAATAAATGTTCACTCATTTTGGGAAATTCCCAATAAGGTGATGAATGGATGAGTGAAATAATATTGGTTACCTTATGAAAAATGTTATACTTATAACCCAATTAAAATAGAAACCCTAGAGTAAAAACTCAATTGGTCAAAAAGTTATATGGAGCTCTGATTATATATATTATATCTTTACATTGCTTTATGCAAGCAGAAACTTCATCACATTAACTGAGGTAAACATTGGTAAATGGGTCTGTGAAGGAACAGCTGATGAACAGAGCCCAGCTACCAGTAGCATGAGGATATTGGCTATTCAATATTAATAAATCACATTTTGACAAGTACATTTTTGTCTATGAATAAATTTACTTCATAGTTATAGTTAATAAAAGAAAGATTGTTTACATAATAACATACATAAATAAATATACAATCAAATGTTTAGGCTTATTCATTAATGTTTGGGTCTGTGAATGAACAGCTGATAAACAGGGCCCAGTTACCAGTATCATGAGGATATTGGCTATTCGATATTTGTTATAGGCTAATATATTCTGCTTTTTCGCTTTTCTTTGCCAACATACAAAAAAAAAAACAGTAAGAAAACCATGCATAGATAATTATTTATCATTCTCAACAGAAAAAATAATACTGTTTTTACGAACCTAATTGTGTATCCACAAAATCATCATCAGTGAAGTGAGCCCTACAGACTACGTGGCCTGTCCCTGGCTTCCACAGATTCTTTGTTGGAACATCAAGTCTTCTTACGGCCAGGCGCCATTTTTGTTGCAGGTCAGGGTCTTAAGGGTGTTTATGTCCTCCAATCTTATTTTTACAACCCGGAACAGAGCAGTATCTTGGCATTGTTGATAACGGTCGAGTGAATCTTCGATACGAGCCACTTTGAAAGCTGACCGGTTGTGGCTTTTAACCAGTAGTACAATTGCGCCACCTAGCGAGCAAATGTGGGGCGGTGTCTCCCATTAATCCACGCAAGTCAGCGACCCTGAACACCCGATCCCGTTAGTCGCCTCTCACGACAAGCATAGTCGCCTTTTACGGCATTATGGGTTGCTGAAGACCTATTCTACCCTGGATCTTCACGGGTTTTTTCATTACTAAAATTGTCCAATGATTTCAAGGCCGTAGTTAACTTTTTTTTGACAGGGGGGGGGGCAAATATTTGTACAAGTATCACTTGTCCCCAACTTGATTCAAATAAAACTGTTTCTAGGAAAAATCTAGGGGGGCAACTGCCCACCGCTGGCGTGTGTTCCATTCAGAAACCTAGTGAATGTGTTGGATAGAGTATGACCTCTTGACCGCCACCGTGTTGTAATCTCTTTGTCATTACCCAGTCATGTTGGTGTTAAGTATGTGCCCGTAAGTGGACGATGTGTAAGTGTTATTATCCCCCGCCCAACAAAATTGGCGGGGGAAATAGAAACGGGCTCCGTCCGTCACGTTTCGTTTCCGGAGAATAACTCATAAACCGTTCAATATTTTTTCATGAAACTTTGCAGGTCTGTCAGGTACATGCTTGACTGGTGCCCTTTGCTATTTAGAAATTTTAGAAATTTTTATTTTTTACGTTTCCATGGCAACAAGATGGACTTAGGTTCTGTGAGGGTAGGGTTCGTTTCCGGAGTATAACTCAGAAACCGTTCAATATTTTTTCATGAAACTTTGCAGGTCTGTCAGGTACACGCTGAACTGGTGCCTTTTGCTATTTAGAAATTGAAGAAATCTTTATTTTTTTTACGTTTCCATGGCAACAAGATGGACTGAGGTTCTGTGGGGGTAGGGCTCGTTTCCGGAGTATAACTCACAAACCGTTCAATATTTTTTCATGAAACTTTGCAGGTCTGTCAGGTACATGCTGAACTGGTGCCTTTTGCTATTTAGAAATTTTAGAGATTTTTATTTTTTACGTTTCCATGGCAACAAGATGGACTTAGGTTGCAAATTCTTCTTTTTTTTACAATTTCCATGACAAGTTCCACCTCGGTTAAAAGAGGTTAGGGTCTGTTTAGATGATATTATGTCATAAATTCTGCAACAGGGGCGGGGGATACAGCCACGTTAGTGGCAAACTCTTGTTTGAAATTGTAATCAAACAAACAGTAAATCAATATCCCATTTGCCTTTCTTTGATAACAGTTTAAAACCACAACAGAATGGAGAATAATGTGTGTGTGTTTTGCCTTGGTATGCAGGAGGTAAAGGATAAACGTATGCCAACTGTCTCGGCTAGCCATGCAGGCAATGGACCGGCTGCACTGAGCCTGAAGTGAAGCGTGTGATATGAATACCTGTAGTAAAGAGAGTTATTCTCATTTATAGTTTTATCAAAGCCCGATGAAGGAAGGAAGGAGTATTTATCTTGTGATTATTTTAATCCAAAACATCCTGTCTCCTTTTCTGGACCAACTAAACTCTATCATATTGTGAAAAAGGATGGAAAATTTGATATCGGATCACATCGCATTAAGAAGTGGCTTGCTTCCGAAGATGCCTATTCGCTTCAGAGGCCTTTGAGGTATACGTTCAAGCGCAACAGAGTGGTAGGTACAGGTTTGAATGCTCGGTGGGATATAGACATAGCAGACGTGTCCAACATAGCTTCGGACAATGACAAAGTCAAGTACTTGTTAATAACAATCAATATTTTTTCAAGATATCTAAGGGTGGAACCCATGAAAAACAAAACCCCAGATCCTGTGGTCAAAGTCATGGGGAAAATATTTACAACCGCGTCTTTGCCAAAGATCATAAGGTCGGACAAAGGCCGTGAATTCAATAACAACAAAGGGAATTACGTATTATGTGACCCAAAATAAAACCAAAGCGTCCTATGATGAGCGTGTTATTCGTACCCCCAGGACTACCATGTACATATATTTCACACACAAGCAAACATATCATTACCTGGGTGTACTACAAGATCTGGTTAAAGACTAGAATTACAGACCACACAGATCACTGAACGAAAGAACACCATCAGACATTAATAAGAGGAATTAAGCTTTAGTATGGAAAGAACAATACAATGACACATTAATCAAACCTGTAAAATCTAAGTTTGTGACTAAAGTGAAGGTAAGGGCTAAACCAATCAAGAAACATGTTAAGTTCAAAGTGGGTGTTCAAGTGAGACTGTCTCATCTTAGACATACTTTTCAAAGAGACTATCAAGAAAAATGGACAGAAGGAATATTTATCATAAGAAGACGATATTATGGAGATGGTATACCTGTATATCATGTGAAAGATATGGCTGATGATCCAGTTCAAGGAAGTTATTTATGAAAAAGAAATGCAGAGAATTTTTAAGTCTGCTGATAGTATTGGCGAGTGGAAAAAAAGTACTCAAGAAGAGAAAGAGAGCTGGTCAGAAAGAAATCTTTGTCAAAGGGATGGATTATCTCAAAACGTTCAACAGCTGGATTCCAGAGCCCAATCTTCAAAATGTATAAATAGTGTGGTCAAGACAGGTGTGGAGTTCATTTCATATTCAACCAGTGATGTGTCAACAAGTATATTTGCTCCAAATGTTCCAAGCAGTATGTCTGGCCTTACCACCTGGTACGACATATCCATGCAAAACATTCAGATGAAGATCAGCAAGTAACCAATAGCTATCTATCACCACCACCACCACAGCAACAAGTAAACAGTTATCTATCCCCACCACCACCGCAGCAGCAGCAGCAGCAGCAGCAGCAAGTAAACAGTTATCTATCACCACCGCAGCAGCAGCAGCAGCAGCAGCAGCAGCAGCAAGTAAACAGTTATCTATCACCACCGCAGCAGCAGCAAGTAAACAGTTATCTATCACCACCACCATCGCAGCAGCAGCAAGTAAACATTCATCTGTCACCACAACCGCAGCAGCAGCAAGTAAACAGTTATCTATCACCACCACCACCGCAGCAGCAGCAAGTAAACAGTCATCTGTCACCACCGCAGCAGCAGCAAGTAAACAGTTATCTATCACCTGCGCAGCAGCAGGAAGTCAACAGTTATCTATCACCACCACCATCGCAGCAGCAGTAAGTTTACAGTTATCTATCACCACAACCGCAGCAGCAGCAGCAAGTAAACAGTTATCTATCACCACCACCGCAGCAGCAGCAGCAAGTAAACAGTTATCTATCACCACCACCACCGCAGCAGCAGCAAGTAAACAGTCATCTGTCACCACCGCAGCAGCAGCAAGTAAAAAGTTATCTATCACCTGCGCGGCAGCAGGAAGTCAACAGTTATCTATTACCACCACCATCGCAGCAGCAGTAAGTTTACAGTTATCTATCACCACAACCGCAGCAGCAGCAAGTAAACAGTTATCTATCACCAACACCGCAGCAGCAAGTAAACAGTTATCTATCACAACCACCGCAGCAACAGCAAGTAAAGAGTTATCTATCACCACCACCACCGCAGCAGCAGCAGCAAGTAAACAGTTATCTACCCCCGCCGCAGTGGCAGCAAGTAAACAGTTATCTATCACCACCGCCGCAGCAGCAGCAAGTAAACAGTTATCTATCATCACCACCACCGCAGCAGCAGCAAGTAAACAGTTATCTACCAACATCACAATTGCAGCAGCAGAAAGTAAACAGTTATCTATCACCACCACAGCAGCAGCAAGTTTACAGTTATCTATCACCACCACCACCACCACCACCACCGCAGCAGCAGTAGCAAGTAAACAGTTATCTATCACCACCACCACTGCAACAACAGCTGCAACTAAACAGTTATCTACCACCACCACCGGGGCAGCAAGTAAACAGTTATCTATCACCACCACAACCACAGCTGCAGCAGCAGCAGCAGCAGCAGCAAGTAAACAGTTATCTATCACCACCACCGCAGCAGCAAGTGTACAGTTATCTACCGCAGCAGCAGCAAATTAGCAACAGCTGTCTGCTGCCATCACTACCACCAGCACCACAGGTACCAACACAAGTATTACAACAAACTGAACGCAACGGCAGCAAGTAAACAGTTATCTACCACCACCACCGCGGCAGCAAGTAAACAGTTATCTATCACCACCATCACAGCTGCAGCAGCAGCAGCAAGTAAACAGTTATCTATCACCACCACCGCAGCAGCAAGTAAACAGTCATCTACCGCAGCAGCAGCAAATTAGCAACAGCTGTCTGCTGCCATCACTACCACCAGCACCACAGGTACCAACACAAGTATTACAACAAACTGAACGAGAGACATTGAAGTATTCACTTCCATCAAATGCTGTCATCAGATGTAAGCGGACAATTTTCAAAGACAACACTGCGGTGGTTATGTTTTATAAACTTTTGTTTTTAAAAAAAACCCAGACCATTTATGAGAGTACACTGATATATTTAACCACCTCGGTAAAACGCTAGGGTGTTTTATTCATTCCAGCTGAACATCAGAAGTAGTGTCAATAAAATATGTGGCTCGCTTATCTCGAGGGCCAACTCGCAACACAGGCTATCCTTACTTACTTACTTATATTGGAGATTTAACGTGCGCTTTCCGACTGCAAGCGTATGTCGCACACGGGCCCGGCCAGGCCATTTAATGTGTTTCCAAAAAGGGGAAAAGTGAGTTTGTGCAACCCAGGAGGGGGGCTTAGGGGATGCTTATATAGTAATTTTGAGATTTGGAAAGAATGCCAAGAGTGGGTGGGGGACGAACTAAGGGAGCTGTGTGTGTTTGGGTGGTTGTTAGATAAGGTAGTTTTGGTTTTAATATTTTATTTGGGGTTTAAATGCGACTAATTAGTCCGGTTTTAATTAGGCATATGCCTAAGGCTTTGAATTTTTCTAATTTATTTTGTGGGTTTAGGATTGATTCTAGTGTAAGTCCGGTTTTAAGATTTAGGGTGGTCTGTAGTGTTGTTCGGTGTGTATGGAAGTGTGTGCAGTGAATGAGTACGTGTTCTGGTGTTTATTGTTGTTTGCAATGTGGGCAGTTTCCTGTTGTGTGTAGATTAGCTATTTTACGGTGATTATTTAGTTTGGTGTGGCCTGTTTGTAGTTTAGTAATTATTCTGTCGATTTTTTTGGATGGGTGTAGTATTTTTGGTTTATTTAGGGTTTTTTTTAGTACTTTCCAGATTTGGCTATTTGAGTTTTGGTATATATTTTGCCATTTTTTGTTGATTTTTTGTTTAGTGACACTTTTGATTTCTGATTTTGAGCTGGGTAAGGCTATCCAGTGGCGTTGACCTTTTATTCACTTGACCGTGACTGCTGGCGAGCTATTTTTAGCGTGACGTCATCACCAACGTGTCTGTCATAGGCCAATCAGAAGACTCGCATCGGAAAAATATATTTATAAGTAATGCCGAACACCCTTTTCTTCTTCATCAGATGCTCGCACACACTTCTTCTCGTGACCCGCTTACATAGTGAATTTCGTTCAGCCTTGCTTGACCTCGACACCGCGACTAAACACCAGGTTTATAAAGATCTCGGTATTAGACGTGCGTTCAGGCAGGTTCGACGTGTTATCCTATACATTATCAGTAGGCATGGTGTAGATACAGGATTTAAAGAGTAGGGGTATCCATAGACTAACATCTAGTCTCTGAAATGAACATGTCGTACAGAAAAAAACAGTTGTTCAGTCATCTAAATAAAAATATATAAAAGGGAGCCCAGTGACTCTCTTCATTATACTGCAGTAATTTAGACTTGCCAAACATTATAGACTTGCATGGGCTGTATTTGATATATATTTGTATCAGGGTCTGTAAGACCGACCAGGGTATCCACTTGGGCTGTTCATAACTTCAGATTGAGAAGGGGTCTCTTGTGTGTATTAATTCCACATTTAATCATTTTTTCTGCGGCCCAAGTTCCTTTGTCTTCTTGAGGTAATATATGACTCTTTTTCATAGTTTATATTCACTACTATATAAACAAAAGACAGTTCTCATGTGCCCCATGGCGGGGGATAGTGATAATGCTGTTTTCTTGCGTAAGTCCCTAAGGCTATTCTAAGGCAATGATTATTGTAAAAAAATATATGTTCTAGATTGTACAATAAAGAACAAGTTGTCCTATTTAAAGACTGGCGTCCTTACTGTCCCATTATCTGGACTTGCCTATGATAAGGATAGAATTACCGTAAATCCATGGACTTGGAGCCATCGTTGGAGCGAGTAAATATTGGTAAATCGTTTAATCTGAAAACTAGAGTAAGATTTATAGTTTCAGGTTATAGACGAGTTAATATACTTTATTTGATGCACACGCACGTGATTGAGAATGATTTAGTATTATTCCACCAATATGCCAGCAATATAACGGAGCGAGCACCAAACACGAACAGACGATTGAACGTCTCGAAACAATGACATAATGTGTGTCAAACATTCTTCTTGCTGAATGCATGACCAAAGATGCCCACCTCTGGATGTACAAACGGTATGGTATAAACGAGAAGTCTTGTGTAACATGGAGATATATTGTCGAAGAATAACGTGATATATTCGTGTATTGTGTTTTTAAAACGTGAATTAAAAAGAGAAACACCCTCGATTTATCTTAGTTCTTTCACAAGGAGAACATTGCATGCAACAAGCTTGTCTTGAAGGACTTTATTCTGAATTATCTTCCCTGGTAAGCGTTTAATATCTGCAGTTGACTGACCAAAGGGGGTCATCCCAAATCCCAAGAAGAAAGAAAAGCCAGACAGCTTTGACATGCTGATATTAAGAGATGTTATTCCACCTATCGTTATAGGTTCAAATGAAACACGGATCTTCCGACGACTGATCATCTGATTTCGTGTCCTAACTCTCAGCTACTCGGAAGGTGTTGTAATCAGCAATTCCATTATATATCAAGTTTTCATTAACTAAGGTAGTTAAAACATATTTTATTTCAAAACTCATCACATCCACTACAACTGCCACCGTCCCAGATAAAACAAATCCATTTGCCACCTTCATGCTCTCAACAGTGAACTGGACCATCTCATGAAAACCTTCACTGTCTTCAACAGTTACCCTTCCCAAAACAACTACTCGTCTCCAAAACCACCCTCAAGACCTTCCAAAACTCCCATCCCAGACCCAAACCTGCCCTATCGCCCATCAGAATCACCCTACCCTACCAAGGCCCTGTCACTCATCATATGTCCCGCCTCGTCAAGAACAAAGCCAACATAGATGTCAAGACCCATCAACGAGCCAATGGCAGAGACAGGAGCAGACCATGTACCAACCCATAGAGGATTTATATACCAGATCCCCTGCAACTGTGGCCACCAGTACATTGCAGAAACCCTCAGACCACTCAACACCATACTGAAAGAATATCAGACCTCGGTCAACAAACAAGACCTGAAATCCGCTATTTCCAAACACATCCTCAAGAACCAAGACCATAATATCATGTGGGGAGCCTCCAAAGTCGTGTCTACCAACAACAACAACTGGCGACAAAGAAAACTACAAGAAGCCATTGACATCAGGAGACACCGGCCAGCCCTGAACCGTGACCAGGGAACCTATCTGCCCACAGCTTGGGATTTATTGCTTTGATCATTGTCAGTTCTAATTATCTAGCTGGCTTCCACTTGCCCATCCTATTACCTATCAGTGCTAATTACCCCCGGGCTCTCGTTTACCCAGGGCCCATTGCCTATCTGTCATAATATAAGTCCTGGCTTCCAGCTGTCCTGCGCTATCAACTATCAGCGTTAATTTACTGTTTAGTGTTGGCTTCCATTTGTCCATTGCTAACCACCTATCAGCGCCAATTATGTGGCTACCCTTGTTAGGTTTCAACCTTTGTTATGTTATTACTTTTCTATATATATATATATATGTATGTTCTCAGCCTCACAGCAGTAATTACCGTGTGCGAAATACGCACAATGTCGGAAAGCGCACCTTAAATCTCCAAGAAGTAGCATTTTTCACCTGATGAAGGAGTCAGTACATACTCCGAAACGTTGTGTTCCTCATAATGTAGAAGTTGACATCCAAATATTCTCTTCCTTAAGAGACTTGAATTCATTTAAACATTGAAGCATCAGGGGATTAAGGCCTCCGCAATGCTATAATTTGTGACCCAGAGTGACCACTCTCGCCGCATGATAGGCTTGGCCTTATACTGAGTTGACGCGAGGAGTTGTGATTTCAACAGTGACACTGATTGTTAACTTAGGCAAAGCTGTGTAAAACTTTGATTAATAGAAAAAAGCCCAAACATCTTAAGCCCATTTACATATGATATTTTAACAAATATCAAAATTTCTTCCACGACATTCTAGAGCAAATGGAGCACTATAGCAGTATAAATGTAACACGGGTGTGCACACTGTGTTAATTCGAGTAAATATATACAAAAACATTAGGATTCTGCATCAGTTCTTAGAAATCATCCTTTCGGAGGACATCAGGCCACAGACAACGTGCAATAATAACTTGGTCTGGTTAACTATTGAATACCGACACAAACCGAGCTCCGATTGTTGCCTGGGGCGAAGCTATCCGTGGCATCAGTGAGGTCCGTGATCAATTATTTGCACATTGATAGCAGAAACAGTACCAAGACCAGATCCGCCCGTTAAACGCATGTCTCTTTATGTGCATAGAGAACGATATCATTACTGCTTGTTTCACTGTGAATAATGCCATCCCAAAATAAGGCGTATCTCGGAACTGACAAGGTTAATCTGATTCTACCGATTTTCCGATTCATCTTTTATTGAGGGGGAAGTTTGAAACAGGGAGCTGCATATTGTTACAAATACTGGAAAATACTATCTGGGCAACAGTTAAAAAATATCCCAAATGAAAAGAAAAACATTTAATGTCTTGTATTGACAGTTCGTTTGATACAAGATGCTTTCAGAATGTACGTGTTATAATGTCCTACCCACCTTGGACATTGGTGGCCCAAAG